AAATATTTTATTTTTTAGTTTTTAAACTTTTTTGCTAAAAACTAAGACACAAACACACATATTAGCCTGGGCCTGCATAGGGTCACGATCATCAATATCACCGTCTTCCACCTCCTCATCTTGTCCCACTGGAAGGTCTTCAGGGACAGTAACAGGCACGGAGCTATCACCTCCTATGACAACAGTGCCTTCTTCTGGAAACCTCCTGAAGGACCTGCCTGAGGCTGTTTTACAGCTAACTTTTTTTTTTTTTTTAAATATAAGTTGGAGTACTCTGAAATAACAACAAAAAGTATAGTATAGTAAATACATAAACCAGTAACATAGCTGTTTATTATTATTATCAAGTATTGTATAGTGTTCATAATTATATGTGCAAGACTTTCATATGACTCACAGAGCAGTAGGTTTGTTTACACCAGCATCACCACAAACATGGGAGTAATGCATTGGGCTATGACGTTATGATGGCTACAACATCACTAGGCATTAGGAATTTTTTTAGCTCCATTATAGTCATATGGGACCACTGTCATATACGTGGTCCTTTGTTGACCGAAATGTTATGTGGTACGTGATTATATAAGGTATTAATCCTAAACACAAAGTTTTTTTTTTTGGCTAAAATAGTTCTTCTATGTACTATTAATTTTAATTATGTATAGTTGGCAGTCTAATTGTAATTATAGTTGGCTGTCATTGGTTGGTAAGTGCTCAGGAAGGTAAAACTAATTTTATAAGTGGCTTTTCTTCCAAACCAAAAAATACATCTCAGAGCTATAATAAATCAAGTTTAGATTATTCAGTGTTGAAGTCATCAGAGCCAACTTCTCTCCCCATGTGAGTGTCCCTATAACCCAAATGTCCCCAGTGTGGCCATCGTATAAGGAATTCATACAAATTGATGAGAGAGCTGCAGGTGTGTGCAGAGGAAACACGGTGCACGGATTTTGTCTTTAACTGGTGTACGTACAGAAATGCCAGTGGAGAAGGCTGCGATGAGTTTCGATTGAAGATCTGCTACTTCATGAGGTAAATATGCTTTAATTTAATTTCTTGTAGTTTCTGGTTCTGGAATTGTTGACAGTGTTCCTTTTCCCCAAGCAGCAGACTTAGTTTGACAATAGAAGCTACTCAGATACCCTTTATTCCGACTTTATTAAAACGGGTCCTCCTCTGCTGGGGCTTGGGGTGGGGAGGTACTTTATCTTTTAGACTAGAGATGAAGTTGTGGTAAATGTGATTAGGGAATGGAACCAGCTCTTAGAAAGAGTAAATTCATTTTCTTCTGCTCCCTCACCACACACATTCCCACCACCTTGCTGTGAATTAGGGGAAGGGTTTCCTCTCCACTGTGGTTCCAGAGAGAATCAGAAAGAGAGGCTAGGATGAGAGTGGTTTTTGATTGAAGGAGGGCGGAGAGAGACTCAGTATGATGGAAGGGGGATAGGAGATGGCTAATTTGAATTATGGTCCTGGATTCAGTGTTATATGTAGTCTGTAAAATGGTACAATAGTTTCCATAGAGGTCCAACTTGAAGTCTTATAGCTGTCAAAAAGATTTGATGCCTTTCAGGTACTGGATTCTGAAGTTTCCTGCAGAGTTTAATTTGGACCTTGGTTTGATTCGTATGACTGAGGAATTCCAAGAAGTAGCTAGTCAACTAGGATACGAAAAACACATTGGTCTCATCGACATATCCAGCATGTAAGAGTGGTACAAGCGTCTTTCAAACTTGATGAATCCACTGCTTTGGGGAGGGAGTAGAGATGATCCCACTTGTCCTGAATCCATACCATTCCAGAATTCATTACGGTTTGCTTCTGTAAGGAAAGCCTTGCTGCAGTGAGTACGGCTGTAATGGACACGATTCATCTCTCCGAGCTGCAGTTTCTTTATTTGTTAAATGGGTATGGTACCTTTCTCATGGGATTATTATGAACTTCTAATAAGTACATAAGATAGCGTGTGAAAGTGTTTGGAACACAATGGATGTTCAGCACTTAGTTATTGAATCTGAATCTAGCTAATGTCTCCAGTGGCTTTGCTACACAGAGTGTGGTCTGTGGATCAGCAGCATTGGCCTCACTTGGGGGTTCACTAGGAATGCAGACTCTCGGGCCCCACCCTAAATTTGTTGAGTTGGAATCTGCACTTTAAAGATCCTGGGGCGATTCATATGCTCACTCAAATTTCAGAAACCCAGAAGCCCTGTACCATGGTGCTATGGTTGTTGGCCATAGTTGTGCCATAAGATGGTTAGTTCGGTTATTAGGAACTTGGTGCAATTAGACTAGTTTCATATCAACTAGCTAACTTTGCACAGAGGAAACTATTTGATGATCCTAAATATGGTTATCCCTCTTGCCAATGTGTGCACTTGTGTTAGACATTCATATCCTATTCTATTTTCTTAGAATACTTCTTCAAGAGTGATCAACAGTGAATGATCTGAGAATTATCAGGGATATTTGTTAAAAAATACATATTATTCAGGTTGATTCGTAGTAAATTAGAATCTCTTGCAGTGAGGTCCAGGTCTCTGTCTTTACAACAAGCTTTTCAGAAAATTCATGTTTTACTGAAGTGTGAGAACCACCACTTTTGGTGGTTTCCATGTGCCTTAAATCATTATCTATACCCTGATAAACTCCCAAATTTATATACCTAGCCCTGACCTCTCCCTTCTGACCCAGACCTTGCTGGTTGCAAGAAGACCAAGTAAGAGATTCTGGGTGGATCGGTGCAAAACCCACTCTGTCTGCAAAAACAACTCAACGTTTATGTTCTGTTGGCAATTGGTCATCGGTTTTCTCTTCAAATATGAAAGGGCATGTATTTTGCACAAGCCCCTGGAAACAGGCCAACAGTTACAGAGTCAGTAGGTTAATAACTTCCATTGAGTGAAATGGGCTTTCAGCACATTGACCAGACTCTTCTTTTACAGTCCTTCCTACGACTGGATGAGACGAGTCACACAGAGGAAAAAAGTATCCAAGAAGGGAAAAGCCTGTCTGCTGTTTGACCATCTGGAGCCCGTTGAATTGGCTGAGCACCTCACTTTTCTGGAGCATAAATCTTTTAGAAGGATCTCAGTAAGAAACTGGACATTTATTCTTCCAAGGATAACAACCACCATGCCAACTTTCCCAAGACCCGCATTTTCATACTCTGAAGTGTTGGCAGCCTCTATCACTGTGCTCCCCTGGAAAAGTGCCCTTAATTCACAGGAACAATCCCTTTTAACCAAAGATAAATATGATTCTGTCTTTACTTTATGGCTCCAGAGCTGTATTTCTGTCGCTATTTTCAATGTCTCCTTTCATAGGATTAAAGCATGATTTTTCTAAACACTCAGTGGAGATTTAACCATTCAAGGTTGATTTAGCTCCACTGATTTCTCCCGAGTGAACATGTTTTGCTAGGCCCTTCATTTTTGGGGAAAAAATATTTATTTAGGTTGGGATTAATGTAAATGCCTAATTATGGGTGTAGGTTGAAAATAGGAATTGTAGGCTTTAAGGAGAATCTGAATATCATGTTGGTTCGTTACCAGAGGTAGAGATCCTGAATTACACTTTTCTTTCCTACTCATCTTGATAGCCTTTCTCCTTCTCTACATCCTTTTTCTTCCTCTAGACTGTGGTCTCTTCTTAGCTGCTTACTTGCTGTCCTCTTATTATGATAATATTTCCACATTGGTTCACAATCAACATTTTCTTTGCTTTATCTCACCAAGCTCTGGGGAAGTCAGTTCTCCTCCTTCTTCTCTCAGGTGCCAGGGAATGAATTACATTATTGCTTGCAAAGAAGACTATCTTGGTTAGAAGGCTGAATTTCTAAAAGACATTAATTCTTTCACAATGCAATCCTACTTGGAGAGGAACTTCATGAGCCCCTGCAAACAGGCCAGGGGAGGGAATCCCCTGTACTGTTTATATGACAGAAGGCGCTTATGTATTTGATGACATCCATACTAACTTTCTGAAAATGTGTCTGTGTTCTAAAACACTGACTCACTTCAATTGACATTTTTTTCTTACCTTTTTTTTCCTCTTGAAACAACTTTACAAAATAGTTCTAATTTGAAATCATTATGTTTAGGTTCATTTCCTCTTTTTTCTTGTGTGCCATTGTATCTTTAACTTGCCTGATCCTTGGAATCATCAGCTGTGAGTTAAAAATGGAGATTCTTAGGTTCTTCTTCTGGAGATACCGCTCTTTCAGATCGTTAGTGTTCTTGGAAATCAGCATTTTAGCAAATACCCCAGGTGGATCTTATGATCCAGTAAATTTGGAACTCACTGGAATATGACTTCGAGTCTTGCCCCTTCCTCCCCCGGCAATACTGTGATGTGTAATAATATATGTTTATGGGGGGGGAGTGGGGTTTGAAACACAGCAAAATAATATTTTAAAGGGACACATATATTCAAACTTGTAGGATGTCATTATAAATGTGAAATGAAAGAAATTGTTATGCTATTATGAAGTAGTATCTCACCTCTTCTATGCAATATTCTAATTTTTGATTTTGCAAAGGATTCATTATAATTCAGAATCTCTGAATCTTCCTTTACTAGTTCACCGATTATCAAAGCTATGTCATCCATGGCTGCCTGGAGAATAACCCAACCTTGGAGAGATCTATTGCTTTATTTAATGGAATCTCTAAGTGGGTCCAGTTGATGGTTCTTAGCAAACCAACCCCCCAGCAAAGGGCAGAAGTCATCACAAAGTTTATCAATGTTGCAAAGGTATGTCTGGTAATCAGACCGCGGTCCTTAGATTCTAGATGTTCTTTCACTCTATTGAGATAGGTTATTGAGGAAATTTGGTGCGCACAATGTAAGGGCGTCCGACAATTGAACTACTCACTGATTTCAAAATCATACTTCTCTCATGCAAGAAGATTGCTTTCAAAAAGCAATGCTTAGAAGCATTTAATGTAGCTATTTTTCTGTGAAATAATTAATACATTTTTCTGATGGATTCTATTTGTGTTTTATTTTAAATTGATGTTATTTTTTCCTTGGTTGTTGTTATTATAATTGTACATCCATTCACCTGTAATTCAGAAAGTTCAGAATAATTCAAAAATCCTTACAAAGTACTGACGTTAACATTTTTATTGCAGAAGCTCCTTCAGCTCAAAAATTTTAACACTCTGATGGCGGTAGTGGGAGGCCTTAGTCATAGTTCTATTTCACGCCTCAAAGAGACCCATTCTCATCTTTCTTCAGAAGTTACAAAGGTATAGTGGATTTGGTTCTTATCATAAGTAAAATATTCATTTGTAAATTGCTTAGATTTAGTATACTCCTAACAAACATTGCTCAGAGTGGGAAAGTTTTCTTAAACCAGTGGCAGGTTATACCTGGGGGACAAAGTAGAAAGGGAATAGCCAATTAGCTGAGTTCACCTGGAAAAACAGGTTGGAGGTGGTGGTAGATGTCCCAATAAGAATGCTTTGACATACTGTTAACATATTGTAGTTATAAATATTCAACAAATGGTGCTTATTGTGTGATAGGCACTGTGTTACCCACAGAGGATACAGTGAATAAGACAGAAATAGTTCCTACCCTACCCTCCTGAAATACTGTCAGTGAATGCTTACTCTATTCATAATACTGTGTTCAGCACATTGGAAGATACAAAGGAAGGGGAAGACATAGACTTTTTATAGAAATCCTTAGATTTATAGATATCAGGATAAAATATATTTATATATTTTAACAACAATGATCATTTTTCAAACCAAGATTTTCTGCCATATTTATTTCTGGACCGCAATAATAATTGTTTTCCTTACAAACAAAAAGGAGCATTTCATCTTTGTGAAAAGATTCTCTTGTAAGAGTGTACTTTGCTGTTTCAATAAGGATACTTTTGGCTTGAGTTTAAAAAGAAAAAGGAAAAAAAATTCTAAATTGATTAAACGATAAGGAAATGTATTTGTTTAACATACCTGGAAGTCCAGAGTCAGCACAGATTCCAGGCGTGGTCTGGTCAGAGCTCTGACTCAGTTGCTCTGCCTTCCTCTGGGTATCAGGCATGTTTTGTTTGTTCGTTTGTTTCATCAGATTGGCTTCCCTCCTGATTGGTCTATTTGCGACAACAGGGAAATTATGTTCCCTTGTTCATGCACATTGAAGATGGGGAAGATTTCTCACTTCAACTCTGCTCCCATAGAATTAAAGACCTTTTTAGACAGATTGAGCCATCTGAAGTCATGTGTCCATACATGGACCAATAACAGTAGCCAGAAGAGTACAAGGTACTGATTGGCTTAACCTTGTGTTCCTGAACCAATCACAAACCAGAGGGATGGGATCACTTTGATGGTAAATCAGAACCCATTCTTGGTCCTGGGGATGAAAACGGTTCCGTCTGAGTCGCGTGGGCTGCTTTGGGAGAGAGTAGACTAATCAAAATTGGGATCTGTTAGGAAGGTCTGGTTGCTGTTAAGCAACCAATAATAACTTGTCCGTAGAAACCAGAGAGGAAGTAAGCCACAGAAGTATTGTTGTCTGACCTCAAACGCCGCACTCATTCCAAATATAATGGGACTCATTATGTGTTTTATTTTCCTTTAGCTTTGTACTAAATCTCAAATAAAAAGCAAAGACAAATTTTAAATGTTGTAAAGAATAAGAATCTGATAGAGGCTTATAGAGACTTGGCATCACCACTGCTTTCGTTTTTTTAAATTATATATTTGAACTTTTCTTTCTTATAGAAAAGTAAACTGAGGCCCAAAAAACTATAGGAACTTGCTCAAGGTCACCCTTCTGGTTAGTGAGTGCAGAGTCCAAAACCACAGCTATCTCCCACCTCAGTGCAACCTTTCCTACCCCACAGTGTCCCAGGTTAACCTCAGGTAATATCTGGAATGGGACTTTCTTGGAACAACTAAGAAATTTTATATGCTACAAGCTTGAATTTGTGGACTATAATATTTTCATGAACTGCAAAATGCTTAAGTACACATGATGCCATTTAACATATCATATTAATAGTTGTAGGAATCCCATCATCCCTAGTAGGCAGGCAGAGGTGCAGGCAATTTCCATTTTATAGCAGAATGGAACAGCCTGCCCAACTCACAGGCAGGCCTAGTACGTTTTTCTAGCTGTCTTTTTCCTGGTTAATATTTTTCTTCATCAACGTCGGTGCAATTGATACTTCTCTCAGTAGCTGAGGAATTTCTTAGCCACACACTGCAGGGCCTCGGGGTGGGCAGAAGGGAAGGCTGCTTGAAAATTCTACTTTTCCATCTGTTCCCAGAACTGGAATGAAATGACAGAGTTAGTCTCCTCCAACGGCAATTACTGCAATTACCGCAAGGCCTTTGCCGACTGTGATGGCTTCAAAATCCCCATTCTTGGAGTCCACTTGAAAGACCTGATAGCAGTCCATGTCATTTTCCCAGACTGGACTGAGCAGAACAAAGTGAACATTGTGAAAATGCACCAGCTCTCCGTTACCCTGAGTGAACTGGTCTCCCTGCAGAATGCCTCTCACCACTTAGAACCCAACATGGATTTGATCAACCTGCTCACGGTGAGTTCCAAGGGGCCAAGTCTGTACTAATAACTCTGCTGCACCTCGCTTTCCAGGGGACATGGAGGATGTGTGCCAGCAGTTCCCTTTGGGGGAAAACTGGTTTCAGGGTCAGTAGATGAGAAGAAAGCTCAAAGGACAAGGGAAAAGAAACCCCACACTCATAACCGGCAAATTGTGGGGCAAAGAAATTTCCTTTTGTTCAGAGGGGCCCAGTCTCCAGTCATACAGCTCCCCTTCTGAGAGTTCTTAGAGAGTCTCCTCCAGACCCATCTTCAGCCCTCACTCTCCTTCATCACACTCGTTGTGCTCATCACCTCCTTCTGTACGTCCTCAAATCACCTGCTTCCCTTTACCCTCACTGCACTGCTGGAGCTGAAGCCTGGAATAGTGCAAGGACCTCCTCTCTGGTCTCCCTGTCCCCACCACCAGCCTCCCCCAACCACCAGGATGTAGTTCCCAACCTGGCATTCGAGGTCCTTCAGGTCTCTGGCCATCAGCCCAACCTTGTTTGTCATCACCCTCCCCATAGCACACCAGCCTTTGAGGAATGCTGGACTTGGACTTTCCATCATGGAGTGCTGCCCTGCTTCCTGGCCTTTGCACTTTCTTGGAAAATCCCATCCCTTTCCATCCATGTGGCTAGTTCAAATTCAAAACCTGTTGTCTTTCTGGAGCATTCTCTCCTCCCCTCCAATGCAGGAATGCATCTGTTACATGTGTTGCCCTTGTGCTTTACATTTCCCTTCACTGTTGGAGGTATCACTTTGCATTAGATTTTTTTCCTATTTACCTGCCTTGTACATCGCATCCTTAGCAACTCTCACAGTCCCTGGCATATTTTAAGAACTCAGTAGATGAATCGAATGCTGTATTTAGGAGTGATGTGACTCAGACAAAAGAAATTTACCTACCACTCGTATGTTTTTGGCATTTGTGACACACATGTTTAGCTGGTCTCCAGGTCCTAGAACTTTTAGATGTAGCAGGTGTGTAGAAGAGAACATTTTCCATTGGCTGCTTCTTTGTGGGAGGAAGAAGCATAACCGAATTTTCTCACCCTCGCTTAAGCAAGTAGAGGTGCAACTTCCCTGTTTGGGTTTATATGCTGTAGCATCTAAAACTTGGCTGCAATACTGAATTGACTATTATCCTTTTATGGCCATAGAAAATGAAACCAGTAACTCCTCTTAAGTTCTGAGAACCTAAATCCCCTAGGGCTGATGCATTGGTATAGCAGTTTGCTTTCTAGACCTTCTTGCAAACTGCTCCTAGAACATGTAATTGTTTACCCAAGAATAGACCCGTAAGTGTAGGCAACGATGCTAGCTGCATCTTCGGATTAAACTGGAGTTGGCCACCCCCCAAAACCTTGGTTTTTTTGGGTTTTTTTTTTTGTCAAGGGTTGCCCCCCCGGCCTTTTTTTCTTGGTTGGGGGGGGACTCAACTCACAATAATCCAAGCACCTGCATTTATTAATCTTTTGCCATGCAAATTGGTTTCCATGAATGAGTGACCAGAGTTGCAGCTCCAATCAGACAGCAAAACCCACAGGCACAGGTGATGTCTGCAGACCAGTCTCAGTGTGGAGCCTGGGTGTCAAGTGTCTGTGTCCAGGCTGTCCACGAACTTGAGCATCCTCTCACAGAGCAGGTGCCCTCACTTAAGCAATTTCTCATCCAGATAAAAGATAATAACGGAGTAGGGAAATTAACTGTGAGTGATAAATGCAGCAAGCAACATTATGACAAATGGATGTTTACAGAAATATTGAAGAATTTTCAATAAAATTGTAGGGGTACAAATGTAAAATTTGAACCCTAGAAATAAAAACTAAGAAAAAATTCCTTTTTTTCTGGGAAGTAAAGAAAAAAGAAAAAGGATGCCAGAGTGCTTCTCTCTCTTCTCTTCCCTCTCCCTCTTTCTCTCTCTCTCATTGAAGGAAAATTTAGAAGCCATCAAGCCCTGTATTTGGTAACTGCAGCGTCGTATAGTGTAGTTAGTGGCAAAATCCGAGATGGGACATCTTGTTTTTTCCCTGCCTTTGCAGTTGCTTAACTTTGTCTCCTTGCTAACTGGCCTTGACTTTGGCTTTGTCTTAAGGGTTTTGTGCTCATTTTTTGAGGTCTCTTCGAGCTCTAAACTTCTACGATTCTAGATGTAAGGAATGGTGGAGCCCTGAGAATAAGGAACCAAGTGTCAACCTGATTCTGTGATACCAGCCCAATGGCTCATCAGGTAGCACAATCCTGTACGTGAGTCACTGAACATCAAGCCAGTTTCTATTGAAAGCCAAGATCCTTTCTTTCTCCCCACAACCAAGGAGAAAGTTTAGTGCATTGGAATATACATTCATTCTTCCCAACCACTGGGTACTTAATCTCTTCAATATGAGAACTGAGGAGACTTCTATCCTGTGTTCCCTGGAGCCCAGGGGTTATTTTATGAAGACCGTAACATATTCGGATTAGAACCATGTGATTGACTGCAGCTGCCCAGATGCATGTGAGGGTGTCCATAAGCACAGCATTTGAAGGGGAGATTCGTTTTGTCCCAGGGTTGTAAGTCAAGTTTTTGCCTGAAGTGATTGTTTTCATCTAAACATGATCCCAAGTGAGGCCCCAGTATATGATTGAGAGCCTGAAGGATAGAAAAAGAGAACTCTTAAGTGAATCAACGATTATTAAATGCCTACTCAATGCAGTAGGCTGTATGGCAATACTTGAACTTTCCGTAATAGTTGATTACAGTTTTCATAGCACTTTTCACAAATGTTTCCTCACGAACATAAATTCTCACGAAAACCCTGTGATGCACCCTGGCAGGGCATTGAGTGTAATATCACCCCTGCCTCTTCTTTTTTGACAAAAGAAGAAACCGAGATTCTTAAAGGACAAAAGGCTCGTAAATGGCAAACATCTCTGTCCCAGCTTGGGGCTTTTCTCTCTGGGATGGTATGCCTTTGCTGGCATATTGCTGACATCTAATTTACTTTATTTCGCATCTGTAAAAATTAAATAATACCTCTCCCCCCCGCTTCATGGATAAGTAATGAAGGAGTTAATTACGGGATAAAATCTACAAGGCAGGGACTCCGTGCCTGTCATTGCCATCATTGTATCTTTGGCCCCTTGAAAACAGCCCCGGGCATGGGAAGGAAGGAGGACCACACCACCAGACCGCTGGGATTTGGATGGGTCCCCCTTCCAGGGACTATCTGGAGTTTCCCCCTGTCATACCAATTTATGTCACAAGGATCTTTAAAAGCTGATGGTTCTGTTTCATGGTATATGAAATAGTCTGAATCTTTTCATAGTATTTTTAGCCCTATCAGTTACTTTTACCATTCTGAGTACATGCAAATAACTGGAAAGCCCCTGTATTTTTACAGTCTCATTTTTTTTTAAAGAAAGAAGAAGAATGGTTTCAAAAATGGTGAGTGGAGGTAGTTTGATGCCCATTATTTTATAATAAACGGTCAAGCCAATGTAGATCCTCCCATGAAGACTAAATCTGCCATCTTCTGTGCTGGAAGGATCGGCTACTAAATGCAACAACCTGAAACGGGAAGATTAGAACACTTGTCAGAAACAACCAGAGTCAAAGTGTGTTAGACAAAAGTGAATATTCTCCAAATCCCATTGACAAGCTGCCCATATTATACTAAAGTTGTGCAGGAAGTAGAAAGGATCGCTCTTTGGGCAGGTCTGTAAATCCCAGAGAAGATCTGAGAGAGGAAGTAGGATCAGGGCTGGGAAAGCAGAGGTGGCAGGTGTCACCTGAGAGCAACTTTACATTCACCGATAAGCACAGTGGCATTTGGCTGCTGCATTGACTGGAAGCCAAAACCTGCATCTGTGACCTTCTAAACAAATGCGGGTTGACACACATTGGCTCACTGAATCTTCACCACCCCTGGGAGGGAGTTATTATTTATGATTTCCATTTTACAGATGAGGAGACTGAGACTCAAGAAAGTTAATTACTTGCCCAGGTTCACACCACTAGTAAGCAAAGAGCAAATATTTGGAGAAGACGAAAGCATTTCCATCATTGAGTCACTGTATGTCAGTTTGACACATGAAAATACCCAAGAATGTTCTGTTTCTTTGGGAAGAGCATCTCCCCAACTTATCGTGTGACCTCTTTGGGCTTCTGATTGGATGGTCCGGTGCTGCTGTCATCTCATCTCCAGCTGATGCCGGTACCCATCATCACAAGATGTGGAGGCCGAGTCAGGAGGAAAAGAACATATTCGTCAAAGTCTGATTAACTCTTGGTAACCAGGAATTCACAAGGAAGAAGTCACCTGGTTTTCCCTCTGTATTTATGTCACCTTCAGAGTGCGAGGCTGCAGGCTGGGACTGGGGGTAGAGAGGCGGAAAAGACAGACGTGCTGCCCACTTTCATGGGGCTTAGAGCCCAGCAGAGTTGTCTGCTGTGGAATTTACAAAATGGTGGGCAACTGCCGCGGCCCATGTGTTTTATTTGGCCCACGTGGAATCATAAAACTTCTGTTTGTTGTTAGTTGCCAGTGTTTAAAAATTGGAATAGTCCATATAAAACTCCAGATTTCTGGCTTCTCTTGACAAATCAGAAGAGCTGGCAACTCAAGGTCCAGTGTCAGGCCGGCAACAATTTGCCATAACCAAGCAGTGGCTGCCCCCTCTTCATCGCAGACCACACCCGCACTTCTCCCTGCTGCTTTCCTATCACAGACAGCCGGTGTCAGATCCCATTTTCATCACAAAGTTTTCTTACTGTAGAGCTAAGAGGAATGCTCCCCAAGTTAATTACACCTGCAAAGACTCTTTTTTTCCAAATAAGACATCGTGGTACCAATGTCTCTATCAAAATTTTTTTTTATGCATTTCACTTCACTCCTTTATATAGTGGGCTGGCTCCTAAAGGCATCTGTTGGTGACATGCAGATGGTTTCTTTCCTGTAAAAAGGCAGAACCCTGGAGGTAGGAGTGATTGCTGTTCAGGGCAAGGTGGACACAATGTCTGTTCTTTGTGAACAGGCTTTTGAAGATCTGAAATGATGCCGAGGCACTTTTATGGTGAAGTCAATTTTATTTTGTTTAGAAAAAAACTTAAGGTGACAAAGTATAGGTAAAACAATATATGACCTGATATATGAAGTCCTTAATTTAAATGTTGTATTCAGTGGCTGCTAGAACTGTGACTAGAATATTCTCTGGCGCATATTAGATGATTGATAAATATTTGTTGAATGAATGAATGGTTCAAGAATGAAATTTTAGGATGCCAACTTCTTTTTTTAAAGGAGGTAAAACAAAAAATAAATTTTTGACAAACGTCCTTTGCCTGAATCTTCTCTTGCTTCCTCCTTTTTTCTCTTTCCTCTCACTCCACACCCATGCACATTAAGCCTTTATCTTTAGACAAGGTATGTTAGAGGACATTTTTCATGCCTAAATGGTCAAAGAAAGGAGCCGGCATTCAGTTATCTGTGTTGTTGATGAGGTGGTGTGATTCATCGAGTGTCCTAGCATTGAAGGACATGGGTGGGAATCGTCCAGGCTTATTTTAAGCCTTATTTTAGGGGACTTTTATGATTATTCCCATTTTACAGATGCAGAAACTGAGTGTCCATAAGGAAATAACTGCTAAAGTTTACAGAGCTAGCACAGTGGCAGGTTCAGCGTTTGAACCCAGAGCTGCCTGACTACAAAACCTCTGCCCTCACTGAGCTACACTGCCTCCCTGAATGATTCCTGTAGTGCTTAAGAGCGCAGCGGCTTACTTCACGCTCAGCATTGCTGCCTTTTATTGGTATGAACACATGTTTTTGTGTTCAGGTCCTATTTCTTCAAATAAATTGTGAGCCCCTTGAGGGCAAGAAATGATTTTATATCATTTTGCATCACCAGGACTCAGCACAATGTTCTCAAATTCTAGGAACCTAGTTAATTGCTCCTGTATTTCCACAGCTCTTTAATCCAACCTCCCAGGCAGCATTTATTACAAATCTTACTTTATGCATCTGTCCCTGCTTCCCCCCTGTAATCATCAAGTATCCCTCCTCTGTAAGTCAGGACGTCGCACTGAGGAGATGCTCGATAAACGTTGTTGAGGAATTGAGTTGCTGGTCTGCACTCCGGGATTGACGCTTCCTTTTGCAAATTTCATTCCCCCCCCCCGCCCCGCGCGTGCTTTTTATTTTTCTGCATTCACTCAATTTACTGTATTAGACATTGAACTTAAACATTCAAATTGAAATATATTTCAGCAATGTAAATAAATAAATACTATCCAACATAATTATTTCTCCCTTCTAATATTGTTGTAGCTTTCTCTGGACCTCTATCACACGGAAGATGATATTTACAAACTGTCACTGGTGCTGGAGCCTAGAAATTCCAAATCAGTAGGTATTGTTTTCTCTCTAAAAATCAGTGCCAAACACCATTTTGGGGTCATTAACAGTAATTGACTGTTACAATGTTGCTTTGTGTTCTGAAGGCTGAAGAATTTTAGAAATTGATATTATTCCCACTTTATCAATGAAACAGCTTAGCCCTGACAGTTTGAGAATTATTTCTTTATATCAGAGTCAAATCAAGAGTAAGAACATCATTCTCATTATTCTGTTTATTATTGATCTTCTATTTATTGTGTCCTTGCTGAGAGCTCGCCTACACATAGGACCAAAAAGAAAAAAAACAATAGTAACTTATCTTAATGTTCAAGATCATTTAGACTCTTCCACGCTTTTAAAAAACTCCATTCAACATAAAATTAGATTTAATACATTTAAAATTTGATCATAATTCACAAATTTCTCTATGAGTGAGTGACTCAGCTCAGAATTTCAATATCACACTGGATAGTGTCTCACATCATCAGTGGCTGACTCCTAAGAAATAAACGTGAAATAATGAGATTGAGGAAATCGCATTATTGAGTGTACACTGCTTATTTGTTTCAGTGAATGAACTATATTTCAGATATGTTTTACACTAATAAAACAATGACTTGATGAATTTAAAATTTACAATGAGGATGAGGTTTGCATGTTGAAGGAAAAAATGTGTGTGTTTGTTTCTTGTAATCATATCTTGAGATCAGTTTTCTTGTAAAGATCTCATGTGCTACCTACCTCCTTACCAGCTGAGCTCTGTAGCACGTTGGCGACAGCTACACCCCCTGTCTGTTAATACCTGCTGTGATCCCGAACCCTCGGACTGAAGGAGGCTGAATGACGATGACAGCTGTCCGCTGGCCCTGGAAGGGCATGCACTTAAGTCTGAGTCAGTTGACCTGGTAGCATCTGATCTTAAAATAATTCGCGTGGTGGTTCCATGAGAGCGTTCTACTTCCTGCCAGTTTGTAGAGGTGTCTCCTGAGAATACTGCAGAACGGGGCCTCGTGGGATGATTCGGCATGGGCAAAGGGAGGAGTGCAGAACTAGACTCTAGAGTTAGCGTGAGCGAGAGAGAGCTAGCAAGAAGGGTAGAGCTACGGAATAAAAGGAGTTTGTGAGCTGCTCCAGCATTCCATAGCTTTGGCACGATGAACCTGGCCATGCTGTGTTAAGCTGTACTGTACACAGAATTTCCACCCCCCGACACCTTCCTTTACCTTTCCAGGCACCGTGATTGCCACCAGTCATTGGACACCTGTCAGGGCATCACACACACGTTATCTCATTAACTCTGTTAAGGAAACCAGGTCTGGGGAGCACAGGTGTCTCAGTGGATCACATAGCCAGGAAGTTGGGTAACTCGGATTTAGCTTCAGGCTGGAGAGCTGGGCTTTGGTTTCAGGCCTGTCTTCAATCTCAGCTCTGTTTCTACCAACCCTCAGATGAGGAGCAGGACAGGAATGACCATTTTAGCACACTTGCCTGCCTGTGCACCTTTAGATTTACTTTAGCTTATTTTCAGGCTAAATTTTTGCCAATTTTAGGAGACATGTCTGTCAAACACACAGAAGTCTTTTATTTATTATAAAAGCAGAAGCTTTCAGAGTTCTTTCCAAGTGCTAAAACCCTGTGACTCTGTGGAAACACATTTCCCAGTCTCTCTGTCTCTTCTCTAAGTGGAGTGCCATCCTATTTGACATGTGCTGATAACTAGTGAATTCTCTCCAGTTGGGATTCTGTCACCAAGAGCCTGGAGCTTGCTATGCTTACAGATGGTGCTGGCTGACCTAACCTAAATAGTGAGTCCCAGAGGTACTCAACCTTTTTCTATTCCTCGCTGCTCACTAGTTCTTTGTGTTTTACTCTCTCAGCAGTTTTTTTCATGGCACCCCTAGGTCAAAAAAGAAAAAAAAAATACCCAACTGTTTCACATATAGAATAGCTAGGTCCAGACAGCTTAATAACTATCTGTGTTCTAACAACTTGGTATACACTTGAAAAAATAATATATTTACATTTAAAGAAAGCTAATATTTTTATTTTATTCTTAAATAACCACAATTACTTACTGATGGACGTGTGTACCTGTTGGACACCACAATACTTTAACTGTTGAAATCAGACTGGACGCTGTCGCCCTCATTTCTTGTTCCACATTGAAAGCTTCTGCTCTTACAACAAATAAAAAGACTTTTGTGTGTTTGATGGAAATGTCTCCTAAAATTGGCAAAAATTTATCCCAAAAATAAGCTCGAGTAAATCTAAATTTTGTTCCAACGATATGATATCATTGCAAAAAGTGTGGTGTGATCTACTGGGGGAACTGTGAGCAACTTCAAGGTGGTAGTTCTTGTGGCATCCGACAGATGTTGAGTATCTTCATGTTTCACGTTTGAAATATCTTTTGGTGCCTGTTCGAATTCACTGCAGTGCTCTGGAGCATCTTGCTATACAATTAGGGAACTGTGGGCTTATCCTTTACCTGATCAATAAGATGAAAATCCTGATAGGAAGAGGCCTGGTGTGTGTGTGTGTGTGTGTGTGTGTGTGTGTGTGTAAATGTGTATGTGTGAGTGTGGGGGTGAGTGTGTGTGAGTGTAGGGGTGTAAGTGTTCATAGGCGAACATAGCCAAAAGGCAGATAATTTTTGGTTTTGTTAGTAGCCCACAGGATACTAGTAACACCCACCTCCCAACATTCTTAGGGGCTTAAATGAGTATGGTTGCTCCTCAACTCCTCTTGCAAAAATGTTTATCCCCCATTCGTTATCATATTAAAAACTTGCTGTTACGGGTTTGCATATGTGCACCAACAAAAATGTTGACATCATACGAGGGTTTCAGAGAAAGTATAGGAAGTGCACTGTAGCCTTCGCTGTTCTCCTGATAGGATTGCGTTGTGTGCTTGTGTTGTTCAAATGTGTTATGCATTATGCCACCAACTTCCTCACATTATGAAATGCAAATGTCTTAAAAGTAAGTGGAAAAACCTTTGGGGAAAGGAAGTTCACCAAAGAGGGCCAGAGAGACCTAATGGTTAGCAGGGGAGTCAGAAGTGCAAGCATGTTGAATGAGGTGCAGGCATAAGGACGTGAACTTGGCCACGCACCGGTACCCATCAGCTACGTGCACCTACGAATTGATCACTGATACCAAGTATTAAAGAATGAGATAACTGATGTTTATATATCTTGTATTATACAAAAATCCACGATGGATGGTTATATTGAGGTTTTTAGGATGTTTTAATGATATTTGGGGAACGTGGATAGGATTTTTGGATGGACTGGGATGCGTTTTTTTTCCTTGTTTAAAATATTATAATAGAACATATATTTATATGTTATATATGTGTATATATAAACACACATATATAAACATATGTTTATATGTTATATATTTAACATATATTATAATAAACATATATTTAGTTACAGATTAGATTCCCTTAACAAAAGGTGCTTGTTTTATAAACATTTAAGTGCTACTTAAATGTAATTTCTACTGGTATTAGTGATATACAAAACCTATTTGTCTTTCTCAGTGTCCCCGGTCCTAGTAGCTCAAGGCCCCAGTTAAAGTTGAGAAATGTGTGTGTTTTCTGTCAGCAGCCTACCTCCCCGACGACGCCCAACAAGCCCGTGGTGCCCCTGGAGTGGGCATCGGGGGTGGTGCCGAAGCCGGACCCCACAGTCATCAACAAACACATACGGAAATTAGTCGAGGTAAGTGGTCGAGGGAGAATAAAGGGAGAGCACTAGAAGGTCCCTTTCTCTTTCCAGAGTATTCTGCAATTGTCCAGGAATGAGGCGGAGTCCATGAAAACAGCCCTCTGGCAGGTAGGAACCATTTAGCAGACACTTAGCTCTACCTGGCATCGGCTGTGGGGAGAATATGTGGGAAAGGTCCCCTCCCCTTTCTTGTCAGTCTGTTCTCCCTTGCCCAGGTCCTCTCAGCTACTTCCAGCTCCTCTCTTTCCCAGGCATTTGCCACTTCTGCCATTGCCACCCACTCAAGGGACTGTTTGGGGGTTTGAGTCACTCACGAAAAAGTCACATGGGTCACAATAAAATGCCCAATACATTGGTTTCCTGATGGCAGGAAAACAATCCTATGAATTGGATAGTTTCCCCTGCTGTGTCCTGTGGATTTTATGACATCAGCACAATGCCATTGAGGTCAGAAAAATCACCTGATGGGGGACAAGCCTCTGTCCGAGCGTTCCATGTACAAAGAAGAGAAGAAATGCCAGTGTAGGGAACGGGGAAACGTCTCAGGCACAGGAAACTGTGATCCCTGATTACACATCTCCTTTAATGGATTGCTAGGTACATCCACTGGTGCAACAGAATTGAGTCTTTGGGATATAATGTGCTTTTTGCCGAGAAGGGATGTTTAAAGAAAAAGAAAGAATGTTCTAATACATCTTGGATAATCCAGGGAACTATGAGGCGCTGAAAGAAAAGTTTTATGGAGTGTGTGAGACAGGAAGGAAAAGATTAGAAAGGGTGGTGCCAGGAGGAATTTTGGTGAGGGCAGGGGCTGAGAGGGAGATAAGGCCCAGTGGAGGCCATGAGATGGTAGGAACAGACCCAACCTGCAGCCAGGGAAGGCGGGGGAAGGATCCAGGGGCCTCGGGGAATGCAAGGACCCGGTTGCAGTGTAGGAATGTCTGACACCAGGAAATGGAAGGCAGAGCAATTCTCTCCCAATCTCATTTTGCGAGCTGACTGCCTTTGCCCCTGTCCACAGGGGGAGTCTCAGTTTGTCTCTCTTTTTCTCTCATTTCCTCTTCTGTTTTATTATGAATTTTCATTGTAAATTTTATTCCACAAAAAAATCTCGTACCCTTAGTATAAATTTGAATGTTAGACTGTAAATAGCAGTCACTGCAAAACAGTTAACTTCTAAGCAATTTCGATTATGGATAAGTATTGATACTGGGATTTTCAAAAAAATGTAATGTTTTGTGATTTTTGCAATTATAGTTCAGTTATCTATGGATAAACTTGCAATGGGAGCTATTGACCCATTTTAGTCATATTTTTAATTCATTCATTCATTTATACCTTGCTTATTTCCCAAAGTACTCTTGAAGCAGCTTGCAGCATAGGACAATATAGATATTAATAAATAAAATAGAAACCAGTGGGAAAAAGGAGAAAATTTAATTATAACTGGAATCCAACTCAAACGTATATTTGCATACATGTGTTTGCAGAAAGAATATACAATTTTTTTTGAAAACCTAATTTAGCAAAAGGCATTGAAAAACCTTTTTGATTTTTCTCTGATTATAAAGGAAGACAGATCATTGTAAACATTAAAGCATTACATAAATGATAGAAAATAAAAAGCTTTACGTTCAGGCCTTGCTAATTCCGTTCTCCAGAGATGACTAACCACTGATGATTTGTTGATTATCTTGCATGTCTTTATGCTCTCTCTCTCTTTACATATATATACATACACACAAACACACACATACATACTACATACATATATGCGTGTATATCATTGAGCAGTCTTGTTCAATTATTTCCTTAGAATGGATTCCCGGCAGTGGGATTGCTGTGTCAGTGAGCGGGTACTTCAAGTGTTTGTCTTCCAGGAAAATTGTGGCTATTTATTTCACTAACTTGCTACAAGGGTACCTATTGTCTCATACCCTAGAAATTATCAATTACAGTATTTCAATGTTTTATTAATCTGAGACTTCAAAATAAGTTTCATTTACATATCTATAATTCTTATCAGAGCTGAGCACCATTCCATGAATGTATTGGCCATTTGTATTTTTACTTTGGTGATTTTCTGTTCAACTTCAGTGTCTTTGCTCTCACATACGTTGCAAATAACTTGCTCTGTTTGTCATTTATTTTTAAATCTGTTAATTAAGCTTTTTGGGTTCAGATATTTTGCATTTTTTTCTTTATGGCTTCTGACTTTGATGTCATGCTAAAAAAAGGCCTTTCCCACACAAAGATTATGAAAAATGAAAAATATTTTCATCGATTTATCTTTGACACTTTTATAGCTTTTTTTACATTAAAATATTTAATATGTCTAGAATTTATTTTGGGAGTGATTTATTTTGTAAGATTATTAGCCATTTAACTAAACAACAATTATTGAATAATCCATAATTTCCCCGTGGATTTGAAAAGATACTTTTTAATATTTTGAATTCCTACATATACATGGGTCTATTTGTGGACTCCACTCTCTGTAGTAACTTGTGTCCTATTGTTTTGATTAATGTAGCTTTGTAAAATATTTGCTTTCTGGAAGGGCATGGTCCCCCTCATTACTCTCCATTTGAAACAATTTTTAGCCTATTCTTAACATATTCACTTCTATTTGAACTTTAGAATTAATTTGTTCATTTATAATAAATTCCTACTGGGATTTTGATTCAAATTGCATTAAATGTATACTTTAATATCTTAAAGCTTTATTTTCTATTGTCATGGTATTGGAATTTGTAAATACACCCTGCTTAACTCCTACCCATCCCTGAGGTCTCAGTTTAAATCTTGCTTTCTCTAGGAAACAATTCTCAGTCTACCTCCTTTCCGCCCCCACCCATAGCACTCTGTTTTTATCCTCAGCAAACCACTTACCTAGTTATATTATAAAGTCTTCTTGATTTAGTTATCTCTCACTAGATTCTAAGCTCCTTGACAGGAAGGATAATATGTTAGTTATCATTGCTTTCACAATAACAAGTTCAGAACCTGATTCATAAATAGTTATTCAATAAATGCTTGTCCTTTTTTTTTTTGCAGTCTGTGTTTAGGAACTACGATCACGACCACGATGGGTACATCTCCCAAGAGGACTTTGAAAGTATAGCTGCCAATTTTCCCTTCTTGGATTCCTTCTGTGTGCTGGACAAAGATCAGTAAGTTGTAATTTTATTACATTTTAATTCAACTGTCCTAAAGCAGAAAGTTATTATCAGAGGGAAACCTGTAATTTACATCTTGACAGCTTCAACCCTTCAAGACAGCATTGATGAGACATATCTAATTTGCCGCTGATTTTATTCTTGGTGTTTGTGATCATTTGGGTGGAATCCCAGGGCAGACTACATCACCAGCTTTGAACAGATGTCCATTTGCAAATCAGCCTGGCTCTCCATTTCTTATATTACCCCTCTACTGCTTAGCTCTCAACACCAAAAGGCTTCCACTAAAGAAGAGTAGAGGAGAAATATAGTTAGATCTAGCCTGGGAGAGTCCTCAGCATTAGTGGACCTTAGGGCAATCTTAAAATTCATTAAGTTTTTTAAAGATTATTTATGGTCTTCATGAAAGCATATGATAGCTGCAGATGACCAAGAAGCATTCATACTTTGTTTTTTTCTGATCAAAAGTTGTCTTGATAAATGAAGAAAAAATTCATTTTTTTCTTTAGCTTCAAATGATTCCTGGAAAATTAAATGACTTTAGAGACTGAGACCCAGCTCATTTTAAAAAGTGATTTAAAAAAAAAATGCTGAGAAAGCCTGGCATTAATCATTTGATTAATTGTTAATTGTATGAGATTAGTTGAACTATTCATAATTTGCTTACATGACTTCCATTATCAGACAATGTGATACCTTAAGTTAATACGTCAGACTTTACCATGGCTAACCAAACTAAAGTTTTGAGTGGCTAATACTGGAAAGTCTCAAAAAGAAAATGTTTTCTGTAAGGTTTTATTTTCCAAACTGTTTTCCAAACAGAAGTTGTTATTAATTAGTACTTTGTTTTTTATTTTTAACTTAATTTAATCTATTTACTTATTTATTTTTTGAGACAGTCTCACTCTGTTGGCCAGGCTAGAACGCAGTGGCATCAGCCTAGCTCACAGCAACCTCAAAGTCCTGGGCTCAAGCGATCCTCCTGCCTCAGCCTCCCAAGTAGCTGGGACTACAGGCATGCGCCACCACACCCGGCTAATTTTTACTATTTGTAGTAGAGACGGGGTCTTGCTCTTGCTGAGTCTGGTCTCGAACTCCTGACCTCAAGTGATCCTTCCGCCTCAGCCTCCCAGAGTGCTAGGATTACAGGCATGAGCCACCACGCCTGGCTTAATTAGTACTTTTGAAAAAGGAATTAACTAGTCATGTGTGAGAAACACAGGGTTGAATCTCATGAAATGGGTGTCTCTACTGTGCAACTTCCCATTGCACTGTGATTCCCTGGGGGGTGGATGGGCTATGCACTGTTTCACAAATTTATTTTATGTATTTACATATATGTATATATTTAGCAGAGAACCTTTCCCCTTCCCTGCAGTCCCTACTAGCATCTCAAGGGTCTGTTTTTCCACAAAAGCTCCTTAAGAACTGTTATTTTAGTCAACATTTAACTTTTAATCTGCCTCCCATGGAAGAAAGTTCCCAGGAGGAAGAAGTCATAGGTTTTAGGCCATATTGGGAGGTTTTGATGGGTCAGTGACCAAATGAAACTCCTCCATTCATTCAGATAGAAATCCTTTTAGAAGTCCACTTAGAGATCGGAGACAACCCTGTCTCTTTGGCTACCAGAATGGAGGGAAAAGGGTGGGGAGCACCGTGGGTTCTCTGGGTCAATACCAGGGCCAGCCCGGCACTCATGGAAACTGGCCTCACCATCCTGAGAACTCATGTGCCCATTGATGACGTGTACAAATCCCGACCATAAGCTGGGGATGGATTGCTTTGCAGAGGGAGATGGGATATTTCCAGGTGCCTTTAGTTAGATCCCAGCAGTTTCTGTAATAGAGAAACCCCAAACTTTCAGGAGCTTCACACACTGAAGTTTCGTCCTCACTCAGGAAAGAGTCCAGTGTTCCTGGCGGCTGGGCAGCATTCCCCTTCCTGCTAATTCATGAACTAGGCTCCTTCTATCTTGTGGCTCTGTCCTGGGTACCTCTGGCAGATGAGAGAAGAGGAGGTGGAGAAGCACAACAGTTTCTTAAACTCCTTGATCTTGAAGTATCATATTTCACATCTGCTCAAGTTGGTGTGGTGGCCAATAGTCACATGGCCCCTACCTAGATTCAAGAAAGGCCGGGAAATGCAGGTCCTGGCTGCACAGCTACTTTGTAGCAACAGATCTATAGGCTTAAAGACAGGGCGCATGCTAGGCAACACGCATTGCTCCTCCTTTCTCTATGAAGCCAGGAAAGGGCCTGAGCCAGGGTTGCTGCCTGGGCATTGTGCTCCAGGGCCCTGTTCACTCTGTGTTCTGCCCCTGCGGTTGTGTGACTCGGTGGTGCTATGTGCATGTCTGTATCTGTATCTATATCACCTATATAATCTGCTAGCCTGTATAAATAACCTTCATCATGAATATTCTGCCACTTGTGTGTGTTTGTGATTAAATGCAGTGATTGTGGGATCATTTGCTCTTTTGAGGTCAGCAAGACATGCTGATGACTCTTTAAATTTTATAAATTTCAAGTATGGTTAAAGTTATTTTGCCTAAAAGCTGAGAAAGGAATCTTAAATTCTCAAGCAGGGGCGGAGGGGGCGGGGGAATTATAGCATCGCAGATAGCAATGGGGAAGCCTGGGGCAGGGAGTGTTGGGAAGAAGGATATGGAGTTGGGCTTAGATATGTTGATTTTGAGAGGAGAGTGGATCCCCAGGAAGAGAAGTCCAGTGAGTTGTTGAAGATGTGGTACCAAAATTCAGGGAAACAGTCAGGGCTGGAGATGTAGATTAAGTCTTCAGCCCAGTGGCATGAACTAGAGTCTCGAGTGTGCGAGCAAACTCTGGTGGGAGACTTTAGAGGGAGGTGAGCCCCGTACTGAGGAGTGAGCCCTCGGCGAACCCCCTTCCCACATATTGCAGCTGAAAGGAATAAGCGGGTCCTGCAGAAAAGCCAGAGAAAGGGGAGCAGGAGAGGGAGGAGAGCAACCAAGGCTGTGTGGAATCACAGGGGTCCCTAGAGGAGAGGGTGTCAAAAAGGAGGAAATGTGCCCCGTGTCACCTGCTGCCAATGAGAAAAGGCCATGGAGGATGTCCTTGGTGACAATTTCAGTAGAATGGTTGGGTTAAAATCCCTATTGTATGGAGCAAAGAGCAACAGGAGGAAAGGGAAAAAGAGTCTAATGAATACTCTTTTTGAAAACTTTGGGAGTAAAAAGAAGGAGGAGAGAAAAGACAAGTGTTGGAGAAGGCAGCAGGATTGAGGAAAGCGTGTTTTTAGGAGAGAGAGTCCTGTGCACATTTGTAAAGTGAGGGAGAAACGAGGGAAGAGACGGAGCAGAACCTGGGAGGGTCAGGAGAGTAGGGGGTGGGAGAGAGAGGAGGACCCCAAGAGAGGACAGAGGAGACACAAAGGAACTCTGAACTGTCAAGGAAAGGTGTGGTCTCCAACACCAACGTGGAGAGAAGGCGATACGGAGCTCAGCCATGTCAAGTGGATTGGATCTTTTCTGATAAACAAGAAGCCAGGATATTTGGTGAGTCAGGGGTAGGGAGGTGAGGAAAACCGGAGGTTTGTTCTGTGTGGAGAAGATCTGGAAGAATTGCTCTAGTGAATGGCATGTGAGCCAGTAAGAAGTGAATGAAAATACCACCACTGGAGTAGCCTGGATGGCGTCAAGCTGAATGAACTTGAGAATGGCAGGTGCAGTTCTAACAGTGTCCTGCCTTTCTCCAGCATGCTAATTCTTGCAACTCTATTGCCAGGCAAGGGTTAGAAAGATGTCCTTCTGGAAGCTACTATTCAGTAATGAAGAAGATTTCTGTGCTGTGGTGCACAGGCCATGTAAATGCACACATGAATATGGTCCTGCAGGCACACACACACACACACATACACACACACACACACACACACACATACACACACACATACAGACACACACATACACACACACATGCAGACACACCATCTTCTGCTTACCGAAAAAGACTTTGAACACCTGAAGCTGTCCTTTGAAGTCCTACCCTCCTTTTGGATGTAACAGAGAACATTCCTCATCTGTTTTTGGCCACAAAGGTCTGGGAGGTGTGTGATTAAAGTAGGGTGACTACTTAGCAACATGACATTCAAAGATCCTTTCCTTCTTTGATTCTTTTAACAGGGATGGCCTGATTAGTAAAGATGAAATGATGGCTTACTTCCTGAGAGCTAAATCCCAACTACATTGTAAAATGGGACCGGGATTTGTCCATAATTTTCAGGAGATGACCTATCTCAAGCCAACCTTCTGCGAACACTGTGCAGGATTTGTAAGTCTGTTTTCCATTATTTTCTTTGGTATGTAGTTATTTGGGCAGCGTTCAGAGAAGGTAGGAAAATGATACACTAAATAGAGTCCGTCGTCTGCTTTGGATCGGAAGGAAAACATGATGGCTCCCTGAAATTAGAGATTAAATAAAAACAAAAGCAGGATCTATGGGGTTTAGCTGGGTTCTAGGAAGGCAGGGCCGGCAAAGACAGGGAAAGTTGGTGAAGCCTGTTAACTCGAGAGACTGGTTTGTCTACAAATCCCTGCCAGGGAAAGGTGTCAGCCCAATACGCGCTGGCATTCATCACCGATATTTATAAGTGGTTGCAATTAAGGAGAGCATTTATCTTAGCCAGTTCCTTCCAGTCCTCATTTCATATGGCATTAGTCACTAGAAATCCATCATGGCTTTGCTCAATAATTCACAACTCAAAAAGGAAAAGATATTTTTGGAGAGAAGATGGTTATAATAATAAATTACATTTACTTAACACTTGCCAACAACAAAAACTTCCAAAGACATTAATGTAATTAATCCTCACAATGAGCCCTTGAGATGGGCATTTTTCTCTCTCTGTCGTGGCTATGAAGACAGACAGGTTCAGAGAGGGTAACCAAGTTCCCCAGCATTGCACAGCTAATCGTTACCAGAGCTTGGGCTCAAGCATAGGTGTTCTGATGCTGAGTCCTGTGCTCTACCTACATTGCAGCACGTGATGATTGTACGCTTCCTTCCCCACATTTGATAATTCTTGGGAAACTGAGGTCACTCTGTGGTCCTGGCTTTAACATAGACTCTTGGGCCATGAATGCCTTCCAATTTATCCCCAAGTTAAATGAAATGGGAAAATGTGGTATGTCAGGTGAGGAAGGTCCAGCCTACAGGTGAGTGTGACAATTGCCCCTTTTTCTAGATGCCAGAGCTCAGGTATGTCAGCTTTATTCAGTGGTCACATCCCACTGTTGACCCCTGTTGAATTTGTCTCCTACCTCTAAAGTACATTTTTCCCGTCCCATGCTCAAAGAACTGGCTTTGGGGAGCCCAAGGGCAGGATTTTATGTTCAAGCACATACGCTTTTGAGAATGGGTAAGTAAGAGGCAGCTGTTACCTCAAAGATGGCCCCAGATGGTCATAGCAGCTGATGTGGTCAAGGGCAAAGCCAGACCAACCAGCTCTCTTTACCATCCCGGGAAGGAGTTCTTCCTTTGTCAGAATATCCACTGGGATTGCATCTTCAGACCACTTTATTGTAAAACGAATGCATGTCCTTTTTTATGTTTCTCAGTTTCTCTATTCTGATGGGAATTTTTGGAAGTATCTGCGCCTGAAAAATGCTGATGTGGGCTCGGGCATGTATAACATTTGCCTGCAGAGTGGGACCTAGTAGTGAACAAGAAGGTCAGGCTGTTAGGCCGTGGCATGGCTTGGCTCAAAGTCAGGCTGATATATCTGTCCTGTGGTGGGGTGTGAGAGTTGGGAGGCCCTTATCAAATCTCAGGGTCCTGGGTACAGTGGCACACACCTGGCATTCCAGCTATTCAGAGGTGAGATGAGAGGATCGCTTGAGATTAGGAGTTTAAGTCCAGCCTGGGCAATATAGCGAGACTTTGTCCCTAAAAATTAAAAAAAAAGACAAAAACCTCAAAGTATTATCTCTGCCCTCTAGTTCTTCTGTTTTGTCCCTCCCTTTTATGGAGGCACTGGCTCTGTAGCAACAGCAAGGCAGCGTTTCTTAGGACCTCCCCCTGGACTCATCAGAGCAGAGGTGCTGGTGCTGGTGCTACGTTATCGATGCAGCTGTGGTGAAGTGGAAGCTTGGACTTGGAATCTGGAACCCTGAGTTGAATCTTTGTTTTGCTCATTGCTAATTCTATGTCCTCGACCAAGTTATTAATCATCTTGCGGTCTGTTTGCCTATCTGCAAAAGGGAGTTAATATTACCCACCATGTTGCTGTGGTGATAATATCAGAGATCTTGCATGTCATATAGCTCAGAGTGTGTGACGTTTCTGTTTTAGTGTTCCTTAATACTTTCGGAGTTTAATTAAAAATAACTCACTTGTAATTTTTATGGCCCTTTTTATTTGCTAAAAAATATATTTAATTTCATTGGTACTATTTGATTTGATCTTTACTCACACAACATTTTTAGAAGTCCATTGGTTTTCAAAGGAATTTATAAATATAACTCTATAGATGTGTCATTGAAGGGAACTGTGGGGGAATGCAAGGAACTGTTGTCTAGTGCCTGGACCATCTGCTTTTGAAATAAATTCCCTTTTAAGGGTAAGAAAGACAACAGACGCCACTGGCTCTGCAGTCGATTTACTTTAGAGTTATAATTCCAGAACTGGGAGAGTGTTGGTAACTCCCTTATTTTGTAGATGAAGAAACTGAGGTCTGGAGAAGTTAAGTGACTTCCCCAAGGTCACACGGACCACTGGCAAGAAGACCATGAGTCATATCCAGGTCTCCTGACTTTCAGTCCAGTGCTCCTTATACCACAGTTACTCCAAATATTACAGCAGCCCATGGTCTCAAATCAAAAGACTGTGGGAAATACTTCCTGCACATCACACCCACCTACATGAGGTCACCCTCTACTGTCCTTGGCCGGCACACTGACCCACTGCCTCTTCCCGGGTAGTGTTTTCTCCTGGTTATTAAGTAAGCATTAGCAAACCATGGCCTGACTTCTTCTCCTGGTAGGACTCTTGCTTGACTGTATCTTGCTCAGCAGTTCCTGTGGCTGTGCTAATTATGCAACATATCCAGATATTAGCATGCTTCTTCTGAAATTTTATCCTTTCTTGTCCTGCCTTGGTGGCTTTTGCTCACAGGCAAAGTACCCAGGAGCAATGGCTTCCTGTCTTTCTCTCAAGGGACACATCTTTCCCTAATTACTACCTATAAGACTTTGCCAAGTGATTTCACTTCCCTGAAGGTCAGTTTCCTCATCTTTAAAAATGAGAAAAATATTATTACCTATCCCATAAGGCTATTATAAGCATTAAATGAGTTAATATGTGTAAAAAGCTTAAAACTGTGTCTCTCACACAGCAGGAGTTCAATAAATGTTAGCTATCATCATTATTATTGTTACTACCATTACCCAAGGGCTCTAGGGAAAAAATTTCCAGGTTGTGGGACCTTGCAAATTATTTAATTTCCTGGATCATTACATTCGCCTTTTACAAAAGAGAAGCAAACCAGATTATCTTAAGGATGACGATATGGTTATCCTGACAACCATTTCCCTTTTCTGTGTCTCGCCCATCCCTCTGCCAGCCATCCTGAGCCTTGCTTCCAGTTGGCTGTCAAATCATCCTTCCTATCTCCAAGGCAAAATGTTGCTCTGTCCCAGGAGGTATTTGCATCTCAATAACATATTTTGAAGGACCAAATAACTTTTAAGGCTCCAAGGAATCTTTGAGCTTTCTGTTGGCAGAATGTCCTTGTCCAGAAGAGGGTAAAGAGCTGTCTTCCTGATGCCCTTGAGTAAGTAGCTGCAAATTGGCAACTTACTCTTCTTGTAGGGCCATGCCACCCAGGCTCGGGGCATTGTTCTCCTGTAATACTCAGTCCCAGTAGGCTACTGTCCCTGCTTTTTTCAACATCATTTTATTTTATTTTATTTTTACTATTATTTTTTGAGGGTCTCACTCTTTCATCCAGGCTGGAATGCAGTGGTGTCATCATAGCTCACTGTAACCTCAAACTCCTGGCCTCGAGTAATTCTCCTGCCTCAGCCTCCTGAGTATCTGGGACTACAAGTGTGCACCACCATGCCTGGCTAATTTTTCTATGTTTTGTACAGATTGGGTCTTGCTCTTGCTCAGGCTGGTCTCATACTCCTGGCCTCAAGAATACTCCTGCCTCGGCCTTCCAGAGTGCTGGGATTACAGGCTTGAGCCACCATGCCCAAACATCATTTACTAAGTAGACAACAGCCACCTAACCTAACCACTAAAAAGTTAGCAATAGAGCTTCTCCAACTTGTGTTAAACCCATTTAATTATCAATACTGTATATTTCTGGTGTCCCTATTACCCTGTCCAAGTGCTGTGGGCAGACACAAGAAAGGACATGGCAAGGCCCCCTTCTTCATGGAGTTTAGGCGTCTGTCAGGTGGGCAAAGTCACCACCACCAAGACGATGCCCTGGGCAAACGCTCCCTCTTTGAACGGCAGGCCCTCCCGTCTCTCCTGAGGCATGTGTCCCTTCCTACTTGTTAACCACACGCGGAGGTCACTGATTTCTTGGTTGGCAGAGTCTGAACTTTTTCTGCATCCCCCACAGCCCTGGCACAGGCCAACCATAGAGCAAATGTGGAGAATGAATACGTGAATAAATAAGTCGCTTCCTCTTCTGTAGTCTTTCAAGGTACAAGTACTACTTTGCAAAATAACCTGGCAAAATCCAAATGCTTCCGTGTGACGTGTGCTTTATTTCTCCTAGTGGGCTCCAAGAGCAGCTTTCATTAAAAAGAGGGAGAGAGGGGCTTCCAGAGACAAAGCGTTCATCTCCCCTGTAAATTTGGCTGAGAGCACATCATGCCAAAGTCCAACAAATGCACCAACTTTAGTTTTCCATCCCGGCTCCCAGCTGACTCTGAGAAAGAAAAGGGAAGCAAAATTCATGCTATCATCCCAGCTAGAGCGGCTGGGAGAGGGCTCTTCTATCTGACAGGAAGGGTGTTAAGAGCAGCTACATCCTGTTTGTGCCCAGCCAGTCATCAGGTTTACCAGGACTTCCTTCTCTGTGGCCTTTTTTCCTTTCAGATTTCTCTTCAGATTCCCTGACATTCCTTTGTCTTTTGTTACAGCTCTGGGGCATAATCAAGCAAGGATACAAATGCAAAGGTAAAGAAATGTTATTTTGTCACCATTTTTAAAAATTTGACGTTTTGGGTAGGAATCAAATTTGTCCGGTTAATCCACAAAAGCTCTTGGCATCATTGAGAACTTGGGTCTTTGGGGCCAGAATTCAAATTGTATCGAGTTTACAAACCACCCTTATCAACACGTGTAAATCCAGCCCTTGCTCATCAACAGCATCCAGTGAAGGCAGGAATTCTGAAGTGGGACGGGCCTAACTAAAATACTATATATAACAACTCTTTCCTGCAAGGAAGAAACCCACACACTCATTTCTATTAATATAATTCATAGACATTTCTTCCCACTCACACATAGCTATTTCTTTTTTTTACTAAATCACATAGATGATGAGGAAAAAAAGAGAAGAAACCTTAAAACTTATTTTTGTCCCTTTCAATGAATGTGTCCCTCTATCTCCCTTGTTTAATTGAAATTTACAAACAATTGAATAAATGTATATTTGACAAATGTAATATAAATGTGTATGAAGCATTTTGCTACTTGTATGCATGTGATTATTGCACTTTATTGGTGTTTAGTTTAAGACGTTGCTAGATACTTTATGCAAAAGAACCAATTTATACTGGTTCTTTTAAGAATCTGATAACATTCTTGAAAAATATAATAAAACTACAACAAGAAATCTCTCAATCACGGAGTACCTTCAGATGAATGCTGTTCCCCTTGTGATGCCTTTTTTCCTCCAGCCACATTTCAGTACTTGGTCCTCATGTTGCATGAACAGCTTCCCTGCTGGAAGGGAGCCACTGTTTAGTGCTCAGAAGGACCTTCCCTTTGGTGTTTCTTTATCACTTGTCTTGGTCTAACTTGAATTTTTACTTCCAAGGAGCAAAGATACTGCAATATCTTATTGCCCAGCAGTGAGTCATCAGTTTTATTTTGGTTGCTGTCCTCCAGCCCCTAAAACATACAAGACATGCATGTGGGAGCTCGTATACACACACACACACACACACACACACACACACACACACACACACATATGCATGGTTTTATGAAGATTAAAATCAGTTAAACCCTTGGATCATCTTTTGTTTTCTCTTAATGGCACATAGAGTGAAAAAACTAATTAAAATAGACTGAATGTGTCATTAAGCCTATTTGAAACAAGACCATTTGGGGGGAAATGGGTATCGGAAATAATTAGAAAGGCCCTCTCTGATGGTAGGAGAGAAATACACTCTTTAAAATGATCGCATCTCTTCGGTGATTCTAAATGAAGTGTAGGACCCTCATCATACGAAACAAGTGTGAGCTATCTCCTGAAGTGGGCACATTTTCTACCCCAGCTAGTAATTCACATATGAATCCTGCCTTATGGGAAGCATCCTAATGGGCAGTTTCACAGAATCTGCTACACGCCATTTCAAACCATAGTCAAATACGGAACATGTATTGAGCATATGCTCACCTGGTTTTCTATTTCTGTACAAAGAAAGGAGGCAGAAGATATAATTGCTTGCCCTGGAAAAGGTTTTGGGAAATGAAAAAAAAGTTTTTAAAAATCCAGACCAGTACTGAATGGAGGCGCACCTCACAGTGAATGAGCAGAGGCCGCGGTGAGCCCTGGGAGAGACCAGAAGCCGAGGCTTCTCCCCCTCACTCTGGCTCAGGACCCTCAGTGAGGATTCCCTCTCTGCCTGGGAAAGAATCCCAATCCCACATGATTTACATTTCATTTTGGGCAAAGGCAACTAACCTCTCAGGCTAGACTCTGCTTGTTTGCTCCCTGGGCACGTCAAGGAATTGTGTAGAGGAGCACGCTGAACCAATGTAAGAGAACTCCAGGAATCTCAGAGTGGACCAATGGCTTTTTTCCAGCCACGAGACACACCCTGTGGGCCTGAGCTGGGCTCTGAAATTCAGCACAGAAACTGGGGTTGGGGAGGGGAGGCTGGACAGCTCAAGGGCCACCCCAGCAGCTCAGTCAGCACCAGATACATAATCATCTGTGACACATTTGGAATTTTTCAGACTGCGGAGCCAATTGTCACAAACAGTGCAAAGACCTCCTGGTTCTGGCTTGTAGAAGATTTGCCCGGGCGCCCTCTCTGGGCAGTAGTCATGGGTCGCTGCCTGGAAGCCCCTCGCTGCCCCCAGGTAATGCCCTCTGCTTTCTTTGCTGCCACAGTGTCTCTCTGCGCACCTCCTCACACCTGGACCTCGTTTGGGTTCTGGGTCTAAACCTGGTCAGAGTCATTATAAACACTAAGGCTCTCTTTAGAGTGAGCAGTGGTGGCTAAACCCTCAAATCACCCTCTCTTCTCTCTGCTTTGCAATCTCACTAACATGCAACTTGCCTGCAGCTGGTTTCGTTCTGTCCCTAGTCTGTTCCTTTGGGACCCTGCATGTCGGACTCCTGCCGTTTGTTTGCACTAACTTTGATGGTTTGCTATAATATCAAGCAGCCAGATGTCAAATAATCACCATCCTATTTCCACTTCCAGTGCAGGATGAGGTGTTTGAGTTTCCTGGAGTTGCTGCTGGACACCGGGATCTGGACAGCAGAGCCATCACACTGGTCACAGGCTCTTCTCGCAAGATCTCTGTGAGGCTGCAGCGGGCCACCACCAGCCAGGCCACCCAGACTGAACCTGTCTGGTCAGAGGCTGGCTGGGGAGACTCAGGATCCCACACCTTCCCCAAAATGAAATGCAAGTTCCATGACAAAGCAGCAAAGGACAAAGGCTTTGCCAAGTGGGAAAATGAGAAGCCCAGGGTGCAGGCTGGCGTGGATGTTGTAGACCGAGGCACCGAGTTTGAACCTGACCAGGATGAAGGAGAGGAGAGTAGACAGGACGGTGAGGTCAGTATGGAGTGAAACCACAGATAAAATCTGAAGAAGGAGGCTGAGGTGCTGAGATGAGCATTATAGTGGACCTAGGAGGCAACCTAGGAGTTTTGAAAGTAGGACGGTTGGGAATGTGTCACTTTTAGCCTTGCCATTGGCTAGTTACATGACCCTGGGCATATGGTTTCTTCTCTTTGGACCTCAGTTTCATCATGTAGGAAATTGAACCAGACTGAGTTTTAAAACTTAATGAAGATTGTCATGTCTGTGTAGTGACACGATGCCCCAGGAACCCACCACTATTGCAAGTATCCAAACTACCAGTACACTGTACAGATCAGCTTGGTTTTCCAAGCTAAAACCAGGGCCCAAACTCAGGGGAGGCAGTGGAAGCCAAAGACTTGTAGAGAGAGACGGAGAATTGGAAATTCTTGCTCCTATTAAAAAAGAGACTTTTGACAGCATCATGGGAAAGGGGGCGGGAGAACCAGAGATATGGGAACCTCAAGGTTCTACAAAACAGGCTTTGCCTCCACACAAGAATTACACTCAAATCATCCAAAGAAAACTGGAATGCATATGGCATTTGTTAGAACACACTTAAATATAAATGGGTTCAAATTGGAGTTAGAAACATTTATTAGTCAACAGTCTATAGTGTATTAAGAAAAAGGATTTGGGAAAATGGCTTGTCATATTCCTAACCTTTAAAGCAACATCATGGAGGACTGTCATTGCTGCCCTGTTGAGTCATTCTCATAAACAAGAGTCTGGGTTAGGCAGAGATCCTGCTGGATCGAGCTAGTGCTCTTTAGTCTTATGGATGGAATTCCACATTCCACTCTTCAGGAGACCCAAACACACGGTCTCCATAGTTTCCCATGGTGAGAAAAACCTCTAGTTCCTTCCTCATTGAGGGCAATTAATGAGGAGGCCAAACATTATGTCCAGTCATATGAAGTTTATCGTCAGTTTCTGCTGAGCCATTTTTTCCTTTGTTATAACACCAACTTCAAAAAACAGCTTAGAGATTTAATTCGCATACCATGAAATTGACCCATATAAAGTGTACAATTTAATGGCTTTTAATATAGAGTTATGCAACCATCACTACAATCTAATTTTAGAACATTTTCATCATCCCCCAAAGAAACCCTGTGCCCATGGGCAGTCACTCTCCCC